TCCAACAATAATGGATTAAGACCTGGAGTCATGAACTGTGGTAAACTATTTGCCTCTTAAGTTGGTTTTTATCATAGTATTTTGATACAGATAAAGAGATAAACTAAAACAGAAACTTGTACCAAACAAATGCAGTCGCTACTAGTGTAAACATGCCCACAAACCCATGTGGCTCTTAAGACTAGGAACTTGGGAAAGGGAGGACTTTGGTTTATTGAGGCAGTCCCTTCTGCTGGGGCAGCCATGCTGACATTACATCTGCAGCCAGGGCTCAGAAAGAGATGAATGCTAGGGATCACTTAGTGTCCCCCTCCTCTTCTCTTATCTTGTGATTTTAATATAATTACATTTCTTCATTTTCTTTTCTCCCTCCAAACCTTCTCATATACCCCTTCCCACATTCCTTCAAATTCATGCCCCATTTCTTACTAATTGCTATTGAATGCATATATGTATGTGTATGGATACCCATATATATTTCTAGATATAGCATGCTCACCTGTGTGTGTTAATTGTATGTATGTTTTTAGGGCTGACCATTTGGCGTTAGAAAACCTATTAGTGTGCTCTTACCTGGGGAATAACATTTCTCCCATTTCTAGCTTTCCTCAGTTGCTTTGACTCTTTTCCAAAGAATTGAGGCCTCATGGGATTTTCCACTGATTCCTTAAGCATGTGCACTTCTCAGCTCACATTTGGACAGTTATAGTGGTGAGATTTTATATAGATGTATATACAATCTTTATAATATAATCTTTATAATAGATGTATATTCTGATGTTAGTAGGAGGCAAAACCTCAGAGTCCCTAATCCTCTGTCTCCTACAACCTTTCTGCTCCTCTTCCACACTGTGAGCTGAGCCGGAAGTGCAGGGTTTTTGTTGTTCTTGTTTGATTGTTTGCTTTTCATAGCTGTATCAGGTGTAACTGGACTCCACATCTCTGCAATTTGATTGGTTGTGGTTTTTCTCTAGTCATCTCTGTCTGTTACAAAGAATAGTTTTCTTGACGAAAGGTGAAGACTACATTTATCTATGGGTATAAGGACAAATGTTTACAGATTGTTGTTAGGCATTATGCTGGTTTAGCAAATTACTGGTTGTTGGTTCTCCTCCAATCATTATGACTTTACTAGCATTAAGTAGTTACCTACGTTTCCAATATAAGCCATGGTCTTCCTCTTGAGATCTCAGGCCATAGCATGGGACCACCCACTATAAAAGTGAGTCTCCCAATCTTACTTGAATCTCTGAAGAAATGACATTATAGACACCCCCAGAGTCTTGGCTTCTAAGTGATTATAAATCCTGTAACATTAACAATGAAGATGAAATATTGCTAAAGTATACCATTTATTAATATGTCTCAATCATTAATTTTCAAACTTTTGAAGTAAAGAAAATGAATGGTTAAACAAATACTTTCTCTAAAATCATAACACAGACTAGCTTTTACAAAAATCTGAGTTCAAACCCCCACTTTTGCAAAAAAAAGTAAATAACTAAATAATAAAACCATTGCACAAGACTCAGCATTTAAAGAACAAGTATTATATTTCAATTAATTGAATAATATACAATTGACTCTGCCATTAATATCCAAACAACAAAATTCATCTTTTAAAATGTTTAATGATGCATCATTTCATACATTAAGAGACTTAATATAACATTCATGACTGGACTTAAATGTTTCATGCATAAACCATTTTTTGTTTGTTTTTTCAGAGGAAAAGCACCTAGCTTAGGAAGCAATATACTTGTAGGAGGCTTCACAAATTTCTACTATTGCTATGTTAGTAACTGTCTCCTGGTGCTACATGTTTATATTTCTCACCCATTAATAGTGGGAAATAATGATAGAGGACAATAGATTTTTTCCCTTTATTGCTAAGCATCAGAGTTGAGTTCCATCCTTAGAGGCAGATACATGGCAGCATTATTCTCTTCCTGAATCCCAATTCCCTTCACACTCTTTTAAGACTACTATTTAGTAGTAAAAATATCTGCTCCCTGATAAATGCATCCACTGTTGTGAAAACCACAGCTACATTTAATAAAGCTAATTTTACTTTTTACAATGGTGTTTTAAGTCATTGGTAAATCTATCATTTTGAACAGGTTTATCCCACTTAATGTTTTGAATGCTCTTCTCTGCACTTCATGCATCATTGTTCTTATTCCTAAAGAAATAGCACTTTTCACACATCTACCCCATGCTACAATTTGTTGGCATTTTCTGAGCCTGGGATCACTCTCTCACTGACACTCATGGACAGGAAGTGTGTGTTTCTACACTCCAAAATACCCATTTCCTAGATGAAGTGAGGCTTCTGACAAATAATAAATAAACAAATAGACAAACAACTACACAAACAAAGTTACAAATGAAGGACATGGATCAGGGTTTGTCATGCTATGAATAGAATTCAAGTCTCATCATACTACACAAGCACTGAATCAGTGAGATATAATTCAAGCCATTTCTCATATCACATTGAGACAAGGATTGCTCAGCTTTCTAACCTATTCTAGAATTTTCTACTGTCACACCTCAGGACCCAGGCTGTCTGAGAATTCAGGAATGAAGCACCATGTCCAACTCATGAATGAGTCTTACTTTATTTTTGCTCCTATTCAGTATTTTAAAACTAACAACTGGCTCTAAGTGTCTAATTATTCTCCTTGCACTATTAGATGAGGCCTAGGAAAACTACTATAGTTTAAAAATATCAATTTCCTTAATATGAACAGAACAATAACCGTAAAATAAACATGCTAATGTGAGTGGCAGATGCTCCAGAGGCCTGGTATCTAGACAAAGAACTACAAGCAAGTAAAAAATACTGAGAGTGGGAGAAATAGTCACCCCAAGGGAAGAACACATAAATTGGTTACCTGTTATCAAATCGTCAGCCCTGAAAATATAAAAACAAGTAACATTATATGAACTAAACAGGTTGTATTTATGTGGTTAGCACAAACATATATGTAGCAACAATTAAAAAAAAGAAGGCATGAATTTGAAAGGGAACAGGAGGTGGATTTCATGGAAAGGTTTGGAAGGATGAAAGGGATCAATGACATAATTTTATTCTAATCTCACAAATATTTTTTAAATTTATGAAAAAATATAACAGCTACCTACATCATCCAGTATTGTTCTAGCTTTAACTTACATGGGCAATATAATAAAAATCTGCATACATTGGTTAAAATATAAAAAAAAAAATCAATTTTCTGGTTTACTAAAATAAAATTGCACTTTACCTTTTGTGACTTCTTTAGCCAGTCTTCTATTTCTGTGAAGAGACAACATGACCACAGCTGTTCTTATAAAGGAAAGCATTTGGGATACCTGACAGTTTCAGAGTTTTAATCCATTATTAGTGTGATGGGAAACATGGCAGCAGACAGGCAGAATTGGTGAAGGAAACAGAGAGCTCTACATCTGGACCCATAGGCAGCCGGATGGGGGAGACACTGAGCCTCGCTTGAGCTTTAGAAGCCCCCAAGTCTACTTCTAGTGATATACTTCCTCCAACAAGGCCTTCCTCTAGCACTCTCTAATGATCAAGCAATCAAAACACTTGAGCCTATGGGGGCCATTCCTATTCAAATCACCACATTCCACTCCCTGACCCTCATCGGCTTGTAGCCATATCATAATACAAACACAAATTCAGGCAACTTCAAAAGTCTCCATCGTCTATCACAATCTTAGCACTATTTTAAAAGTCCTAAGTTAGAAGTCTCTTGTGAAACTTATGGCAATCTCTTAACTCTAATACCCTGTAAAAAATCAAAATCAGAAAACGTGATCACATACTTCAAACATCAAATGACACAGAATACACATCACCTTACCAAAGGGGAGGAAAAGAAGCACCATGAGGAAATAGTGGATCAAAGTAAGACTGACAACTAGCCAGTCAAACACCAAAATATGTACCTCCATGTCTAATGTCAAAATACTCTTCAAATCTCCAAATCCTTTTATCTTTGCTGATCGCAACACACTTTTTCCCCTGGGCTGGTTCCATACACAGTCTTTAGCTTCCCTTGGAATGTGTTTCAACCCTCTGGTACCTCCAACATTTTGGGGTCTCCAATGCAATACAGGCTTCACCTTCACAGCTTCACACAATGGCCTCTCTGGGCCTCCATGCGAAGACCTCTGACACATGCCTGGCCTCAGTTGCTTTCCTCAGTCATGGAAGGAGATTCTGTAACCTCTTTCTTGCATCATTGACCATAAAGCCAGAACCATATGCCTGAAACTGCCAAGTTCTGCTGCTTGCTGGGGCCAGAACATACAACAATTTATATACCAATTCTGTAAAACTTGCTATATAAAATTTGAGTATATAACTGTAAATCTGTAACACTGTGATTTTTAACAAATTAATTTTGAAAACAACATTATTTCATTTCAAAGAACTTTTGTGGAGGTCCCTGCAACCTCTGTTGCCTGCAGAATGATCTGAGAGGCAAAAATGAAACTCTGTTCATTCTGAGTAGTCTGACACCAGGCAGTTTATTTTAGCCAATTTAAGCACAGAACAATTTTGAAAAAAAAAAAAAAAGTTTCCTGTTGACAATTAACTCATGCTTGAGTATACAACAAAGCTTAAGACAAGTTTACATTGAAACTCTTTAGGAATTATTTATGGTTTCTTCCATAAAGATGGTTTCTGTTGACTCAGAAACAATGCTAAAGGGAAGAGTCCAGGGTAGTGGTTCTCAGCCTTCCAGCTGTGACCCTTTAATAGAGTTCTTCAAGTTGTAGTGACTCTCAATCATTCAATCATTTTCATTGCTGCCGCATAACTGTAATTTTGCTACTGTTATGAACTGTAATATAAATATCTGATATTATAGCATATATGACATGTGACCTCTGTGAAAGGGTCATTCCATCCCAAGTGGTCACAACCCACAAGTATTATAATTAATATTGACTATTTTCTGGGCACCTGCTTGCCTTTTTTCTGAAAGTAATTACTGCTGGCCTCGGATCAGGTACGTCTTGCCATTGAGAGGCCAGGAGAACACAGCATCCACTTCTTCTCCAGGAGGAAGCCCAAACTCCACCAGTGGCCGCGCTGTGCCCTCCAGCTGCCGGTCCTGGAACACCCAGAACTGGGGGCCGCTGAAAAGGATGATTCGGCCATCTCGGGGACGGGCATAAGCAGCCTGGATGACCCTCACGTGTTCGGGCAGCCCCTCCCAAAAGCGGTGCAGCTGAGCTGGACGGGGCGATACCAGCTGTCCTGAGGGTTGGAGGCGCCAGAACCAGGTGCCTTTGAAGAAGAAGATTTCCCCTTGGATATTGGCAATAGCATCAAAATTGTCCTCACAGCGATCAGGCACAGGTGTGGAGGGCCTGTCAGGGAGCAAGGCTGGAGGCTGTGGAGGTGAAGCCAGGGGTTTCCTTGTGGGCTTGTCACCCGGGGTATGGGACACTTTCCCATAGAGCTGCTGCAATCCATCACGGTCATCTTGGGACAAGCGGTATTTGTGAGGGTCACCCACCGGGCCCTGGTAGAAGGGTCTCATAATGGAGTTGGGAGCAGAAGAGTGGCCAAGGCCTAGGGAGTGGCCAAACTCATGAACAGCTACTGCAAACAGGTCGGTTCCTTCGCCATCTTTTGACCCAAAAGTCCAGGTCTCCTCATCGTCAAAGTGAGTGTCTCCAGAGATGGGGTGCTCCCCAGGGAAGAAGGCATGAGCCAGGGTGCCACCAGGCCCATCAAAGGGGTAACTGTCTTGGTGGTAGCCCCGGGAAAAGTGGATAAGGATGTCAGGCTCCTGGTGCCGAGAATCCACCTCCTGGAAGGTAAGGCCTGACTCAACAGCCCAGACAGTCAGGGCATAGCTCATGAGGGTCCGCACCATCAGCTGGCTCAACTGGGAGTTCTGAGAGAAGGACTGGATCCTCCACGTCAGGGTGCGCTTCTTCCACACGCTGCCACTCAGAGCATAGCGTCGCCGCCGCCGCCGCCGCCTGAACAGCCCAGCAGGCCCCAGAATATCAGGCAGGGAACAGCGGGGTTTGTGCATGGTGGCTATCGTTACTGGGTCCATTTGGCCTGTCTCAGGCAGCCCGGCAAATCTCTGCATGACTTTGATGGCATCCTGCAGCTTCGCAAGGCTCTGCAGCTGGGCTTGGGTAGGATCTGCCGG